GGGCTTCATTCACATGGGGTGCTTTACCTGGTGAATGCTGAGCAGAGGCCGTCGCCAACTGGAACAGTGGTTTTCCAACCAGCTGCTCATTAGAAATATTCGGGAGTTTTAATAACACAGACTCTGGGTCTGAGGCCAAGTGGCATTGGTGTCACTTAGGAGCTTGTTAGATATTCAGACTCTCAGGCCCTGCCCAGAACGACTGAACCAGAATCTTTACTTTTTCACAAGAGCTGTAGGTGAGTCTTTAGAGTCAATGATGCTTAAAAAGCACAGCCCAGGTGATTCAAAAGTGCAGCCTGAATTGAGAAGTTTGGATCTATATCTCTGGGCTTTCTTACATACCCCAACCTTCCTGAACATTGCAGGACATTCCTAAGCCCCTAAAATAGAGGTGGGGGTCCTGGAAATTCTGAGGGGAAGAGGTAAGGTCCTAGCTCAAGCTCCAGGCTCCGATCATTCTATTGTGTCAGCCAACACTATGCTTTCCCCGAAGTGGAAGCTCAGTGTATTGGATAAATGAAAAAAAAAAAAAAAAAGGATTCCTGACCTTCGGCCCACTCTTGGGCTTTCCTTGGAGGAATGGGTGCAAAAATATTTCAATCATACTGGAGAGATCAATGTTTCCCAAGGTACTTTTGTTTAAGAATCCCATGGGGGCAAACACTGAACTTTCAGATTTCCAGGCTCTCCCCTAGAAATCTGAGTTTCCCACATGTGAGGTGCAGCCTGGAATCTAAATATATGACTGTTCTAGGTGACTCTTAGGTTTGAACATTCTTTAGAAGCATGGATCTAAACTGGTAAGTAGACAAATTTTTCCTTCTTTTCATCTATTATTGCAAAGCTACATTCATGACCAAACATTTTAAAGTTGACATCCACAATGTTTTTCATCATAAGTTTAAACATTGCAAATGATGTTATTTCTGGCATACAATAAAAATGCATAGTTTAAGTAAATAAAACTATTAATATAACTCTTTAAAATGTACCCACAAATATGTAAATAGCATAGGGTTTTGAGTTTTTAAGTTATATTAGGTTTGGGACTTTAGAACATTTCAATTAGCAAACTAGATTTCTGTTTTAATTCTGACTTGGTTGCATTGGCAGAAGATGAAATACAAATACAGGCATATGTGTTTTATCTGCCATTTAGTTGGCTCTAATGCCTAGAGACCCTATGAGTGAGTGATGTCCACAACGTCCTATCCTCAACAGCCTTGCTCAGCTCCTGTAGACTCATGCAAATACAGACATACCTCAGAGATATTGCGGGTTCGTTTCCGGACCACCACAATAAAGTGAATATCGCAATAAAGTGAGTCACATGAATTTTTTTGGTTTCCCAGTGCATATAAAAGTTATATTTACACTATACCATAGTCTGTTCAGTGTGTAATGGCATTATGTCTATAAAAAATAATGTAAACATGTTAATTAAAACATATTTTACTGCTAAAAAATGCTAACCATCATCTGAGCCTGTTGGAAAAATGGTACTGATAGATTTGTAAAAAACACAGTATCTGTGAAGCACAATAAAATGAGGCATGCCTGGATTTCTTGCCTGTCAGAGGACCATGGGAGGCAAAGCCAGAGATTCAATCTAGAAGGTACTGAGGGAAGGCAGAGCGAAGGAGGAGAATGGGGGGAGGGGAGAGATGAGAGGTGAGAGCAAGCCAAGGGTATGAACTTTGACCCCTGGAACTTAATTAAAAAAGGAGTGGCTGGCCCCTCCCTAGAGAACAGATTTTTATTCTCTGTCGCTGGAGTGATCTCTAAGAACTTTTTGGCATTTGGAAGAAATCTTCCCTCTCAAGTTCCTCTGTTGGAAGAGCCGTATGGATTGCTTCCCAATAGCTCAAGATCCGGGTAAACTGGAGATAAGGAGGTGGGCCTCTGGACAATGGAGAGAGTAGGGGAACTCCCGCCACAGGACATTGGGTGCGGCCCTGAAGCCCCGCCCACATTCTTTCCTTTGGCGATTTGGATGGAAGGTTTCGGTAATCTCTCTGGACCACAGCCACAAATCCAATCAGGATCAACTGGTTCGGGAACTTGATTGGATCTCCATTTGGATGTTATAGATTGGATTATAATAGGCTTTAAAAGGAGTGAGATTGTCTGACCAGGCTTCACTCAGGCTTTTGGGAGAGCAAGGTAAAAAGTTCCACAGACACAGGAAGTGGTGCCGCTGGACTTAGAGAAGTTTCTTCTGGATATGTAGACAAAGACACTTCAGCTTTGTCCTCCCTCATGGCTCAGAGTGGAAAATATTGAGCCACACCGAGTCATCTGGATACATAACTTCAGGAACTGGTAAGCTAAGACATATAGTATCCTCCATTTTGTTCTCTTAAAACTGATCCGAAAACTTTTCCTGAAAAGGGTTAGTCAATATTTTAAGCATTATAGACCACGTGGTTTCTGTTGTGATGGCTTGAATTTGCCATACTAGTGTGAAAGAAGCCATGGACAAAATAGCCTTAAACAAGTGATCACAGCTGTGTTTCAATCAAATTTTGTTTGTAGACACAAATTAGAATGTCATATAATTTTCCATGTGATATGAAATATTCTTTTGGTTTTTTTACCCCCAAATTAAAAAAGAAATTAAGTATGTAAAAAAATACCAAAAAAATATATAAATCATGTTTTGCTTGCTGGTTATGCAAAACCAGGGAGTCGGCCAATTTCCCAACCTCGTATTAAAGCATTTGTCAAAATGCAGCTAGCATCCCATTAGTGAACTGTGAAATTTAGTGAGCTGCAATCAGCTTATGAAAAGAAATATAATTTGTTCATTGAATCTAACATGCCAAAAACTGTTAACTTTTAAAATAAATTATTTTTACCAGCAAAATGGGTTTCTGAATTGCAATTTGAGACAAGCAAGCTATGGCAAAAACCAAATGCAAGTCTGCAAACAAAGAAGAGTTACTTTATAGAGAAAAAGGAGGAAGTTGGGATATTGGGTATGAGCAAAAGTCCATTGGTGGAGAGCAGGAGTCTGGGGTTGTGACGATTTCTCATTGGCTGAGTTGTGGCATTTTCCTTTTTGGGAAAATAATTGGGCTTGCTGCTGGGCAAAGAGAAAATCTTCCTTCTTCCTGCTGGAGAAGAAAAGTGGCCAACTTCTGGCTTTGAATTGTAAAGTAAGGGGCTAAGACAAACAGTGTTTGCATGAGAGCTCCCCCTTCAGGGCTTCCTGACTGTTTTAAATGAGATTTATCTGTATTAATTTTTATATAAGATACATTATTTCTGATATCTGTATAAAATTTAAAAATACTACCAAGCAAACTATGAAATGCTACTGATGAGATGCAATCTAATTTCAGAAATGGGAAATGTAAACAGCTTATCCCTTAGAATCAGTGGCATGGGTTAATAATGGCATAGAAGGTATGAGCATATGCATTGCAGGGAGAGTATTATTTTATAAAACTTGTTTTACTACACATACATGCCCATACATACTGGATGAATTTCTCCTTTGCATGATGGTGTTAAATCATTTCAATTTGGGTTTTGTTAAATGCTTGGAAAGCCTGGAATTAATGGGTTTCAGTCTGTTATACTCATAAACAATCAGATTAATAACAGCTACTATTTTACTTATTTTCAGTCAGTTCATGTATTTTCTTACTCTGTCCTATGTCAGGGTAAGGATACCAAGAGTATTCATTTGTTTAGCATTGTCCTAGAAGCCGAAGATAGAGCAGAAAATGAAACACAAGTCCCTGCCCTCATGTAGCAAGATATTTTTTCTATAGTGTATGTTAGACCAGGGTGAAACACTGAGCTGAAAACTAGTGTTGGAGGAGAATAGGGTACGGGATTTGGGGTAGGTTGTGATTTTGATAGCATGGTCAGGGAAGCCTTGCTGAGAAACTGTGGACCTGAAACAGGCCAAGAGTTGGCATGAGGGTATCTGAGGAAAGACCATCTATTACAGGAGGAACAACAAAAGTTCTGAGAAAGTAGAGTCTGCTGCCTTCCAGACTCACAGAGCTCAAGATGGCTGCAGTGGAGGACAGGGTCAGAACAGACGAGGATCAGTGGGCACAGGTGGATGGCGTAGACCTCTTCTGGGCATTTTATGTTCATTGATATTTTTGAGTGAGATGGGAAGCCATTGACGATCTATACGCAGAAGGGTGCGTGCCAGCTCTCCTTCATATTTTAACGAGAGCATTGGAGCGGCCATGATGGAGATATGACAGAAGTGGTAGAAGGATGGAAACTTTTGCATTGCAATGATCCAGGGAGAGAACATGGTGTTTTCAATCAAGGAGGTGGCAGTGGATGTAGAAGAGAATGGTCAGGTTCTGGATACCTTTAGAAGGTGGAGTGGACAGGGTTTGCTAATTGGTTTTAGGGTGTGAGGGGAAGGCTGGCAGAGCACGTCTCTAGAGTTTGTGAACTGAGCAACTGGAAGGGTTTACAGAGAAAGAGAATGCTGCAGGAGGAGCTGTTTTTTTAGGGGATTATCTAGAGCTTAGCTGCTTTTTTTTTTTTTTTAAGATCGCCTAGAAATCTTAGATATCCCTGAGGGTATGTCTGTGTGTAGGAGGAGGCTAGCGAGACACCCAGGATGCAAAAATGAGGGAGACAGGCACTCTGAGATGTTGAATCTGCGCCTCCTTAAGTATTGCCCTTAAATTTTGTGCTCTAATGCCTCCCTTGCCTCACCCTGTTCATGGCCCTGCAAGAGGACAGGTTGAGCAGTTTGCAGTTGCAGGAGACCGGAGCGGGGTGGGGCATCGAAGAGGTAAATCTGGAATCATCATGTCACTTAAATGCTTTGAGCCTCTTTTCTTACATGTAAAATAAGGGTATTAATAGTTATCTCAGTGTTTCAGGGGAGGATTAAATAAGGCAATGATTTTATCTTTTGAAATAAATACTGACTAATGATATGTGGTTGCACTTAGGTAGCAATTTACAAAAAGGAAGTACTGGAAGTTGAAGGGACCACTTTGAGCCAAAGCAGTTGTGAAATGGCAGATCTCTTATTGTGTGAGAAAGAACAAAGGCCAGAACCACTGGAGAAAGTGGAAGAATCCAACCACAGGGACAAGGATGATGAAAATTCTGATTTGCTATTTGTTGGAGTGGAACATGTAAATGAAGATGATGAAGTTCTCTTTGTCAGAGTGATTTCCAAATCAAAACCAGTCATTTCAAACATTTTGAATAGAGTGGTCCCAGACTCATATTCGACAAGAAATAAAGGCTGCTTGGTTCAAGATACTGCTTGCACATTACAGCCTACAAATCACTTGACCCCTATGTCGAAAGCAGGGGCCATCCCTCCAGTTTCTCATTCTGGGAAGAGAGCATTAGATAGTCCTATTTTTGAGCCTTCATCTAAATGTGATTATAAAACAAACTCAACACAAGTCGTCCCTGGCAATTCCTCAGATTTGCTCTCTCCAGGGGCTCAGTGTCTCCTTGGAGCTGTACTTTCTACAGGGGGCAAGGATGAAAGTCCTCATGATTCAAAGAGACTTTCCACTTTGGATATAAACAGTAGAAATCCCAAAAGATCTAAACTCAGTGATGGGGTCCTAGGGGGACATCCTTTAGCTGTGGCTCCTTTAGGTGTCTCTCCTCCAATGAATGTGAGTACACCCTCACTAGATGTTCCCTCTTTATTAAACCCTGTTGAGAATGGAGCATCATTTCCTCGGGCTTATGCAAATGACAAGGAACATTTCAATTTTATGGATCCAGATAGAGCAAATAGTTTGGAAAGGCAGGGAAAAACAGACTCTTTGAGACTAGCAAGTCAAAACAAGACTGATCCCAAGAAAGGAAATCTGATCATGTTACTTCATGACTTCTACTACGGACAGCATAAAGGAGATGGGCTGCTAGAACAGAAGACTCACACAGCCTTTAAATGCCTCAGCTGCTTGAAAGTTCTAAAGAATGTCAAATTTATGAACCACGTGAAGCACCATTTGGAACTTGAGAAACAGAAGGGCGGCAGCTGGGAAATCCACACCACCTGCCAGCACTGCCACCGGCATTTTCCCACTCCCTTCCAACTGCAGTGTCACATTGAAAGTGTACACACCTCCCAAGAGCCCTCTGCTGTTTGTAAAATTTGTGAATTGTCATTTGAAACAGATCAGGTTCTTTTACAGCACATGAAGGACAATCACAAGCCTGGGGAAATGCCCTATGTGTGCCAGGTTTGCAATTACAGATCGTCGGCCTTTGCTGATGTGGAAACACATTTCAGAACGTGCCATGAAAACACTAAGAACTTGCTTTGTCCATTTTGTCTCAAAATTTGCACAGTTGTAACATCCTACATGAATCATTGTTGGAGTCACTGGAACAAGAGATTCTTCCAGTGTACCAAATGCCGGCTACAGTTTTTGACTTTTAAGGAGAAAATGGAGCACCAAACCAAGAATCATCAAACATTTAAAAAGCCAAAGCAATTGGAAGGATTGTCTCCTGAAACAGAAATTATTATTCAAACTACAGGTCAACCAGGATCCAGAGGTGCAGCATCCATTATTGTGAACATCACTGACCCTCAATTGTCAACTGTAAAAAGTAAAAGGAGAGTGACTATGAACAATAAGTATTATAGATATCACTGAAGCTAGAGTTCGGACTATAAATTATGTTCTACCCACTTCCAGGAATTCTGAAAGACAGAATGGAGGTGAGGACATCTGTACATCGTAGCTGTAGATGCCAGCAAGCAATGTCAACAAATGTCAGGTTTTACAGTAACCATTCTTTAGCTCCCCACTGTCAAGAACTAGCTCAGAAGTCTCATGCCCCTTCCCAATCAACCTCCTCCCCAAAGTAGCCACTTCTCTGACCTCTGCTACCATAAAGTGGTCTTTGTTTTTGAACTTTAAATAAATGGAGTTGCACAATAGATTTTTGTCTTTGTTTTTCTTTACATAGTGAGATGTGTTCTTGCTGTGTATAGCACATTCTTTTTCATTGCTAGGTAGAATTCCCTTGAATGAATATGGCACATTTTAATATACCCATTTTACTGTTGATGGACTTTGAGGTTGATTCTTTTGTATTTTGAATAAAGCTTGTGTGAGGCTGTGTATGTCTTTTGGCAGATATATGTGTAGTAATTTCTCTAGCATAGTATAGAGATGAGAAGTCCTGGAACTGTATAGATTTAGCTTTTTAGTGTAGATACTGCCAAACACTTTTAAAGTGATAGAAACAATTTACATTTCCACCAGCAACACTGAAAACTTCATTGCTAGAGATACAACACTTGGTACTGTCAGTCCTTTTCATTAGTGTCATTTTCTTGAAGTTTTAGTATCATGTTGTTTTCGTCTGCATTTCCCTGATAAGTAATGCAAATGCTTGATATTTTTTTTCATATGGTTGTTAGCCTTTTGAATATTATCCTTTTATTAAGTGCCTATTCAAGTTTTGCCATTTTATTTTATTTTATATTTTATTTTATTTTATTTTATTTTATGTTTATTTTATTTTATTTTATTTTATTTTATTTTATTTTATTTTATTTTATTTTATTTTATTTTATTTTATTTTATTTTTTATTTTATTTTATTTATTTTATTTATTTTATTTTATTTTATTTTATTTTATTTTATTTTATTTTTTTATCTAGGCAGTTTGTCAACTGGGGAGGGTACAAGAGAGAACTGCTGGGTCACTGAAAATGTCCTGTATCTTGACCTGGATGGTGGTTTCATGGGTGCACATATGGGTATTAAGGTTGGTGCTTCATAGTTTGTCTTATTTAAGAAATTATTGTCTACCAAGAACATATATTCCTCCTATATTTTCTTCTAGAAGTTTTACTATTTATTCTTTCATGTTTAGGTCCATGATCCATCTCAAATTTACTTTTCTGTTTATAGTGTGATAAATCAAGATATCAAGGTTAATTTTTTCAAATGCATATTCAAATCAGTACTTTTACTAAAAAGATTACTCTTTTTCCACTGTATTGTAGTGGAAACTTTGTGTGAATCAGGTAGATGACTATATATGTCTTTTTGGACTCTTCCATTCCATTGGTCTAGTTCTCTATTCTATACTAGTGCCACATTTATTATAGCTTTTAATTACTGTAGGTCTACTTAAATTTACGTGATGGTAAATTTTATATGTCAACTTGTTTGAGCAAAGGGATGCCTGAATAGCTAGTAAAACATTATTCTGGGGTGTGTCTGCAGGGTGTTTCTGGAAGAGATGAGCATTTGAGCCAATAAACAGTAAACGAAATAAGCCATGAGCGATGTGGGTGGGCATCATTCAATATCAGGAGAAAGGATGAATTTTCCCTCTGTTTTCTTGAGATAGAATATCTATCTCTTCTGTCCTTGAACATCAGAGCTCCTTCAGGCCTTCAGACTCGGAGACTTATACCAGCATCCCCTCTCTGCCCCTGGTTCTCAGGCCTTCAGATTCAAACTGAATTCTCCCACTGGCTTTCCTGGTCCTCCAGCTTGCAAACAGCATATCATTGGACTTCTCAGCCTGCATAATTGTGTGAGCCAATTCCCATAATAAATCTCATATAGCTCTCTATATATCCTATTTGTTTTGTTTCTCTGGAGAACCCTGACTAACAGCTATCTGGGAGTTTAAGTTCTCTAGCTTTGGTGTTCAGAATTGTCTTGCCTATTCTAGATGATTTGTTTAATTAAAGTGGTTATAGTAAATTTTATTATCTTGTTCTCAAATTCATGTACAATAGTTTGTTAATTGTGATGTTAGCTATAAGGTTTTTTTGTAGCTACCCACTGACTAGAGGTATTGAGCTACTAATCAATAACCAAAAGATAATTGAGGAAAAAACCAAAAGTTTAGAAATTAAGCAATATAATTCTAATTAAGACTGAGAGTAGGGTGAGGGAAGCCAGAACCCTTAAGTGCAAAAGTCTCTTCTCTCCACTTTCACAAAGGTCTTTAATGTTATGCTTTAAGCTCACCCTAGTCCTGGTTCTGGTTCTAAGAAAGTCATAGCTCTTATAAGAAATTGCTGTGGAAAAAGTCAAATATTTGGAACTAAATAATTTTGAAAACAATGAAATGCATGGGATGGAACTAAAGCAGTTCTTAGGAGAAATTCATAGTTTTGAGGAAAGAGTAAAGATTTTGAAGTAAACAAAATGGAATTACTTTAACTAAGCTACTAAAATTATAAACATGATAAAGGTTGTGGCATGAGGAAAGATTTTATTATTGTTCTAACTTGCTTAGGAACATAAGCTTTTGAACTGTCTAGTTCTGCATCAATGTTTGGATATACATCAGTTCATTATGTGTCAATATTTGGGCATATACTAGACATCCAGATAATGCTCTGATTACCACCCAAAGGACTCACATAACCAGACCACCTGACATCCATCATCCAGACCACCAGACATGACAAGATCTCCTAGAACTCAACTTCCAGACCACCTGGTATCTGATACCATCCTGGTCCAATCCCAGAGCTAAGAGCAGGACTGATTATTCTTAAAAATGTACTTTTTACTATAATAACTCTCAACATTTCTTTCTTCTTTAGAACACTTCTGGTTTTTGACTAGCTGTGTTTCCAGTTTGCAAACTCTAAGACCCTTGAATAAATCATCATTTATTTTAAACAAAGCCTCTAGACTGTTCTGAGTTTGTTCAACATAAAAAATGCATATATTTGCAAGGAAAAGTTATAAAAATAATGACCTAACTCAGTGCTGTCCACAAACATATCTGCAATGATGGAAATGTTCTATATCTGCTCTGTTCAATTTGCCATATGTGACTACTGAGCTGTTGAAGTGTAGCTAGTATAATCGAGGTACTGAATTTTTAATTTAATTTACCTAAAATTAAATTTAAAGGTAGAAGAAACAGATCTCTCTTATAAATAAATGCCAAATAATTTGTGTACTCTCAATAATCTTATAGATACTCTCCCCTCCATGAGACTCCATGCCCCATTTTGAGTGTAGGCTAGGTTTAGTGACTTGCTTCCAAAGACTAGAATATGGAAAGGGAAAATAACTTTAAGATAGAGAACTAATACTAAACACTATCGGTAGCATGTATCTCTGATGAGAAGTGATGAGAAGGATACATCACCTCTGTGATAGAATTCTAAAAGCCTATAACCCTATTGTAACCATGAAGAAAACATCACGTTCATATTGAGAAACGTTCTGCAAAATACCTAACCTTTAAGGACTTCTTAAAGTCGTCAAGGTCATGAAAAACAAAGTTTAAGAAATTTTACAGAGTAGGCGAGGGAGATGTTATCACAAAATGCATTGTGATATCCTGTATAGGAATCTGGAACAGAAAAAGGACATTAGTAGAAAAATTAGTGAAATTTTAATAAAGCCCAGAGCTTACTTAATAACTTACTGAAGGATATTGGAGTAATTTTGAGGCCTAAAGGAGGTCGTATCACATATGTACATTTCAGACACAGCAAATATTTTCTCCGTATCTACATCCCCTTCATTTTTATGGTATACTTCACTAAACAGAAATCTTCAAATGCAAAGGATCAATAACTTAGACTTTGTGTCTGACCATAATACAACAAAGTGAGAAATTGATAAAGGAACAGTTTCAAAAATTTTCATGGATTTGGAAAACGAATACCATATTATGTAACCTTTGTGTTAAAAAGAGAATCACTAGGGAAATTAGGGCATACTTGGAACTGAATGATAAGGAACATATAAAGCAAAAAATGCGAGACAGTTAAATTGGCACTTGAGTAAATTAAGGGAAATTTATAGCATTACATAAAGAGAAATAAAACAAATGAGCTAGGTATTTATCTAAAGTTGTAAAGAGGAGCAAAAGAACCTGTAGAGATGAAAAAATAATAGAAATAATGAAGAATAGAAGAAATAAGTGAAATAGAGAAGAAAATGAAATTATAGATTAAGAAAATCCAAAGCTGTTCCCCCGCCCCCCCCAAAAAAGATTACTAAGACAGAGTTGGCAGAATTGGACAATTAAAAATAATTCTGTAAAGGGCCAGATAGTAAGTATTTTAGGCTTTGCGAATATGACCTCTGGCAATTAGTCAACTTTGCTTTTATAATAGGATAGCAATGATAGGTAATATCTAAAGGAATGGGCATGTCCTGTGTCCCAATAAAACTTTATTCGTGGAGACTTAAATTTGAATTTCATATAATTTTCACACAAGATAATATTCTCTTTGCGGTTTTTTCCGGCCATTAAAAAAAAAAAAAATGTAAGGCTTATTCTTAGCTTGCTGCAAGCTGTACAAAACTAGGCGGCAGACTAGATTGGATTGGCCCCAGATGCAACTTTGAGAGAATGGGCGGCGATACTCAACTGCATGGCTAAGTTCCTTAAACATGGAGCAGGAAGCTAGTACTTTTATGGAAAAGGGACCACACTTGAGGATTATTAGAGCTGAACTCCAGGTGAGCAAGCCTATTCCCTGATGGACTGGGAGCCTGCCCACTGGTCCTGAACCCTGGCCTTCTGTGAAACCCTGACCACCCAAGACCCTTCCAGGGACTCAGTCATTGCTCTGCCCACACCCCTCTCAACCCGTCGCCACTAGGGGCCCCCAGCGGTCGCCACCAGGGGCGCCAGAGAGCGCGCATGCGCCCGACCGTCCTCGCGGCCAATCAGATCGCAGCGCCGGGAGCCCAGCCAGCCTCACGCCTCACCTGGCAGCCAGTCACTGGTTGCAGCGGGCGCGCGTGTGGAGGCGTCGGCGGCGTCGGCGGCGCCTGGGCTGAAGAGACGTCGTCGCTTCGGGCTTCGCCGGTGGACCGCCTCAGGCCTGGTGCGCCGCCGGCAGCTCTGCGATCGCCGCGGACAGGGACCGGTAAGCGCGGGGGATGGCGCGGCCCAAGTGTTCCTTGAGGGGAGATGAAAAGGGACTCTTCGGGTCGCGACACCGCGCCTGGCCTTGCACAGCTCATCGGCCTGTCCTTGTGTCGCCACGGGTGAGCGGCCTCCGTGGGTCCAAAGATCCCTCTCACACACATTCCCTCAGCAGGCGCCACTTTTAGGTAGACTTCCTTCCCCGACCCTGACGGGGCGACCCCATCCCCCAATCCTGAAGAAGGGGCCAGGCCCGGCTCCTGATGCCCTCCCCTCTCACTTCCCCCGCGGGGGTCTCTTGTGAAGCTTAACACAGTTAAAAATCTGAAACCGATTTTGTAACCCCAGCCTCACTCCGATTCTGAACATGTTGGTCTAAACCCTTTAAGACCTTTAAAGCATTTAAACATTGATTTGTTGGTCCCTCTCCCCTACCCCAGCGCTTTATTTTTCTCGTTTACTGTATCTCTGCCTGGACTCTAAAGCAGCCTCGGCCCTAATAAAGTTCCCCTGAGAGCCATGACCAAGAGTGATTTTGAGGCTTCTGATTTGGGCAGTTCCCAGATGGAGTGATTTTCTTACTGAGATAGGATAGATTGGAGGAACAGGTTTGAGAAAAGAAATTCAGTTCTCTTGACTGGATGAGAAGGGGATGCTTGAAAAACATCCAAATGGCAATATCAAGTAAGCAGTGGTTTAAAAAATATTCTGTAACATGTAAGTAACCTTAATCTTTTTCTCTGGTTGATTCAAGGATGTGATCTTCTCCTGCCTGGAGTTATCTAAAGTTCTTAGACGTTTCAGTGCACACCTGAGGTAAGATGAGAGAAGTCTGTCATGAGGACCAAGCTTGTATCTTTTTTTCCTTCAATTTTTTGCTCGTTCTCTCCTGTGCTAAACACTACTATTTAGACACTGTTTCCCAAATGTATATTATATACAGCTGAATGTGTATGGTAAATTCAGGCCAGTCATTGATTTAGATAATTTTGGAACCCTCTGAACTGCTTCCTTAAAAAAAGTGAGGGTGGTGGTGACATTTTTTTCCACCTAAAATAAAGGTAGGCGCACCATAGATTTTTAAGCTATGTTAAGCTGATTTCTTTAACCATGTTCTGAGGCTAAAATGGGCTGATACACATATCATAAGATTTCAGTTAAAGTATTAAAGTGGTTCATTTAGGGTAAATGAGTTTTGGTTAAAGTGATTACCTCAGGTAATCATTTTAATCCGTTAAAATGATTACCTCAGGTAATCATTTTAATCCGTAAGAGATTTATTTCTGTAATTGAATGTGGCTGGATAGGGGATGTCATCTGAATTCATTTCATGCCTGTAGGCAAGTTTATAGGGAAGTTGTATGCCTAGCAACTTGTGCATACAGCTCAGTGAGACCCATTGTATAGTTACTTATCTATTGCTATGTATAACACATTATCATAACAGAATACCTTAAAATAAATGTTTATTATTTCATAGTTTCTGAAGGGCTGGAATCCGAGAATGGTTTAGCTTAGTGGTTATGGCTCAGGGCCTCTCAGGTTGTAAGTCAAACTTTTGGTTACATCCGCAGGCTTGACTTTTGTTGGATGATCTTTGTCTAAGCTCAGTGTTAGCACAGGGCCTTGGTTCCTCACTCTGGGTCTTTCCACAAAGCTGCTTGTGTCATGGCAGTTGGCTTTCCCCAGAACGAGTGATTCAAGAGAGATTTTGCACCCAAGATGAAGTGCAGACTTTTGAAAGTTAGCTGTTCTGTATTTGCTTAGTCCTACAGGCCAATCCTGTGATAGTATGGGAGAGGGCTACACAAGACTGAATACCAAGAGGTAGGATTCATTTGGAGCCATCTTGGAGGATGGCTACCACAGCTATTTTTCCGCTGTTCCAACCTTTCTCCATATGATCTCAGGCATTGTGTTATTACTATGGGTGCATTATTTGGCTCCAAGCTAAGGCCAAAACCTCTACTTGTGTACTAGATCAATGCAATTCTTGTTTATCCAATAATATTAGTCCAGCATCTCTCCTCTTAGTCCTGAATTAAGTTGTCTATTTTTCTGGATCATTCCTGAAAACAGACTGATTGTAATGCCACCTGTCATTAAAAATTTATCTTTTGATAGGACATCCCCCTTCTGCCTATTTTATTTCATATTCGCTTGTCATTACAGGGAAATTTCTCCAGAATTGTTCATATTTGCTGACTCCTATTCTCCTTTGAACCTTTAAATCTGTTCTTGTCAAGGTCACCAATAAATTTCATAATGCTTAATTCAGTGGTCAGTTTTTAAGATTTTATTCTATCTATTGGCAGTATTTGTCAGAGTGGTTTATTTCCTCATTTGGATTACAGGAATGCTTTTTTCTTGACACCTCCCTCTCTCACTTCCCCATCCTGCCACGGTGGTAACTTCATTATTCTTATTCTTTTCTGGTTCCTTCTCATCCTTCTGATCCTAACCAGTGGAATACCCCAGGGCTTAGATTTTAGATCTCTTTTCCTAGGTGATCTCATCCAGTCTTGTGTTTTAAATAACACTACATGCCAAAGACTCCAAAGTATGTATACCTGGCCCACACCTTCCCTGAGCTCTGGTATCATATATTTATCACTCAGCATCACCTCTTGTATGTCAGCCTTCCCTCTTTCACATCCCAAATCCAATCCATGAACAAATCTTGTGGACCTTCAAGATAATTGATCTAGAATCTGACCCCTTCTTAGTACCTTTTTTTCCCGTCCTGTCTGGTACTAACATTATTTTTTGTCTATATTATTTCAGTAGCCTCTTAACTTGTCTTCCTGCTTCCAGTATTACCCTCTAAAGTCTGTTTCTTTGCACAGCACCCAGAGTGATCTGTTGAAAGTCAGATCATATTACTGCACACTTAAAAACTTCCCAGTGACTTCTCATCATGCTTAGAGTGAAAACCAAAGAACTTAGAATGGCCTACATCAACCTACCTGATCTTGGCTCTGCTCCACTGTAAGGACTTCATTCTTTGATTTCATCTCCAACTTCTTTCTCTTTCCATTGGCTTGCCTATGTTAGCCTCTTGACCATTCCTTAAATTTGTTAAGCATGCTCCGGTCTCAGAGACTTTGTATTTGTTGTTTCCTCTGCTGGAGTACTCTTTC